TGGAATTTTCAAGGTTCACTGGCATCGTAACCTGTATCCGAGCTTTATTCCTTTTCATGGCTGAGTAGTATTCCACTCTATGGATGGGCCACCTTTCTATAATCCCCGTTTAACTTGCTTTTTATGTTTTTGAAGGTGGAGTCTTGCTCTGTTGCCCAGATTGAAGTGCAGTGGCACATTCTCAGGTCACTGCAACCTCCACCTCCTGGGTTTAAACGATTCTCCAGCCTCAGCCTCCTGAGCAGTTGGGATTACAGGCACAAGCCACCATGCCTGGCTAATTTTTTATATTTTTGGTAGAGATGGGGTTTCACCATGTTGGCCAGGCTGGACTTGAGCTCCTGACCCCAAGCGATCTGCCCACCTCGGCCTCCCAAAGTGCTTGGGTTACAGGTGTGAGCCACTTCGCCCAGCCTGACTTGTTTTTTGCTTTTTATTTTTATAAATTTTAAAACTTTAATTTTTTGAAATGGAGTCTTCCTCTGTAGCTGGAGTGCAGTGGTGTAATCTTGGCTCACTGCAGCCTCCACCTGCTGGGTTCAAGCAATTCTCCTGCCTCGGCCTCCTGAGTAATTGGGATTACAGGCGAGGGCCACCCTGCCTGGCTGTTTTTGTATTTTTGATAGAGACAGGGTTTTGCCATGTTGGCCAGGCTGGTCTCGAACTGCTGAGCTCAAGTGATCCTCCCACCTTGGCCTCCCAAAGTGCTGGGATTACAGGCGTGAGCCACTGCCCCCTGGCCTGACTTGTTTTTTATTTTAAGAGACAAAGTCTCACTCTGTCACCCAGGCTGGAGTACAGTGGTGTGATCACAGTTCATTGCAGCCTCAACTTTTGGGCTCAAGGGATCCTCCTGCCTCTGCCTCCCAAAGTGCTGAGATTATAGTCATGAGCCATCGAGCCCAGCTGCCATCTCCATTTTAATTTTTTTATTTGTTTGAGACAGTCTTCATTGCCCAGGCTGGAGTGCAGTGGTGCAGTCTCTGCTCACTGCAGCTTCCGCCTCTGCGGTTCAAGCGATTCTAGTGCCTACCCCTCTCGAGTAGATGGGACTACAGACATGCACCACCACACCTGGCTAACTTTTCTACTTTTTGTAGAGATGGGGTTTCGCCATGTTGGCCAGACTGGTCTCGAACTCGCAGACTCAAGCGATCCTCCTACCTCAGCCTCCCAAAGTGCTGGGATTATAGTTCAGCCACCATCCGGCCTCCCATCTCAATTTGTTAGTGCAGCAGACCAACCCGTGAGGGAATCTATGAAAGCATCGGTCATTTCTGCGTTCCACACCTTGCCTGTCTAGAAAGACTGACGGAGACCAGTCAGAAATTGAGCACTGGGCCTGCTAATTTGGGAGTGCTTGACGTCTGAAAGCCACGCCTCCTCGCGTTGTTTAGTGGGAGGTGCACCGGCAGCATGCCCTGCCCTAGTCCTAAGTGAGATTTGCATCTGACTGCAAAGAACGGGAGATACAACAGGGCAATAGGTGAGTGTTCCCTCAGCGGAATCTGTTGGTTAAAATATTGCAAAGCGCCTTTCCTTCCTCTTCGAAGTGTGAGCGTTTCTGCTTACCTGACAGCAATTTATAGTGTGTGTTTACATTTTAAAGTGAAAAGTTTCCAAAACTTGAAAAGAATCAGATGGTGATCCCTCAGGGATACGATACGCACCCACCTTCCAGATTCTCTGATGGTTAAGTCTTTCTCATACTAGATGCCGTTAAAACTTTAAGCAAAATAAAGTTGAGAACCCATTTAGGTTCCTCAGTTGAAAACATTTATGTTGTCTGTGAAACCTAAATACCCTCACTGTCTTGCAAGAATATACCTGGAAGTAGAACAAAGAGCCACATGTATGTGGAGTGGGGACCCCTTTCTTTCATGATTGCATTTTTTTTTTTTTTTAAATATGGAGTCTTGCTCTGTCACCAGGCTGGAGTGCAGTGGCACAATCTTGGCTCATTGCAACCTCTGTCTCCCGGGTTCAAGCAATTTCCCTGCCTCAGCCTCCTGAGTAGGTGGGACTACGGGTGTGTGCCACCACACCCGGCTAATTATTTGTATTTTAGTAGAGACGGTGTTTCACCATGACCAGGATGGTCTCGATCTCCTGACCTCGTGATTCACCCACCTTGGCCTCCCAAAGTGGTAGGATTATAGGCGTGAGCCACCGCGCCTGCCCCCCCCCCAACTTTTTTTTTAAAACAGGATTTCAAAAACAAAGTGTCAAGGTGCGATCGTGACTCACTGCAGCCTCGACCTTCCAGGCTCAAGTGATCCTTCCTCCTCAACCCCCTAGGTAGCTGGGACCACAGGCATGTGCTCCCACAGTCAACTAATTTTTTATTATTTATTTATTTATTTTTATTTATTTTTTTGAGACAGAGTTTCGCTGTTGTTGCCCAGACTGGAGTGCAATGGCACGATCTCGGCTCACCGCAACCTCCGCCTCCTGGGTTCAAGCAATTCTCCTGCCTCAGCCTCCCAAGTAGCTGGGACTACAGGCACGCACCATCATGCCCAGCTAATTTTTGTATTTTTAGTAGAGACGGGGTTTCACCTTGTTGACCAGGATGGTCTCGATCTCTTGACCTCGTGATCCACCCGCCTCGGCCTCCTAAAGTGCTGGGATTACAGGCGTGAGCCACCACGCCCGGCCTTAATTTTTTATTTTTAGTAGGGGTCTTGCTACATTGCCCAGGCTGGCCTGAAACTGCTGGGATCAAGTGATCCTCCCAGCTTGGCCACCGATGGGCTGAGATTACAGGTGTGAGCCACAGCACCGAATCTTTTTTTAAATTTTAATTTTTACTTTTTATTTTGAGACAGGGTCTGACTCTGTCACCCAGGCTGGAGTGCAGTGGCGCAATCACGGCTCACTGCAGCCTCCACCTCCCTGGGCTCAGGTGATCCTGTTGCCACAGCCTCCTGAATAGCTGGGATTACAGATGCGTGTCACCATGTCCAGGTAATTTTTGTAGTTTTTTTTGCCTAGGCTGGTTGCTAACTCTTGAGCCCAAGCGATCTGCCTGCTTCAGCCTCCCAAAGTGTGGGATTCCAGGCGTGACCTAAAATTAAATCTTAACTCCATGTAGAATATATGGATATGGTCCCATGAGAACAGAAAACACCCATGACGGCCTCAGTTCCCCTCTGACTTCACTTTTTACCAACATGCAACTCCTTCTCTCCCCAAGGAGTTAGTGAGTTTCTTTGGTTTAGGAGTACCTTTTTCTGGGTGTTGACAAGCATACATGCTCTTAAAAACCTTGTGATACCAGTTTCTCTGTGTTTCCATATATATGTTATTGAGTACAGGATTCTGGACCCACTGTCCCTTGCTCAGCAAGTGGGAGATATTTCATGACTGCATATAGATCAGCTTCCTTTTCTTTCTTTCTTTCTTTCTTTTTTTTTTTTTTTGAGACAGAATCTTGATCTGTCGTCCAAGCTGAAGTGGAGTGGCGTGATCTTGGCTCATGGCAACCTCTGCCTCCCAGGTTCAAGCAATTCTCCTGCCTCAGCCTCCCGAGTAATTGGGATTACAGGCATATGGCACCATGCCTGGCTAATTTTGTATTTTTTAGTAGAGACAGGGTTTTGCCATGTTGGCCAGGCTGGTCCTGAACTGACTTCAGGTGATCCCCCCAACTTGGCCTTCCAAAGGGCTCGGATTACAGCCTGAGCCGCCTGGCCCAGGGCCTTTTCAATTGCTACATAGTACTGATTGCTATTAAGTTACTCCTCTAATCCCCCACTGATAGATACTTAGTGCAAAACATTGGAAACAGTTGCAGATAGCCCTGGGCATCTTGAATTGTGTGTAAGCTCCAGACCTTTTCTCTGGGTTTATCACCTCCAGGAAGAACTGGCTGGTTATAGGGTGCATGCACTTACAATGTTATTAGAAAATGTCAAATTGTCCAATTTACACTCCTGCCAGTCCAAATGGGGGCGTGCCCACACCTCTGCATGGTCCAGTACATAATGAATGCTCATTTTGTGAAGTCACAGGGTCAAACCTTTCTACCTGCCTCGTCCCCCTTAATTCTTGCAACATTCTCAAGAGGCAGGTAGATTGGGTATGGCTACCATCACCATATCCATTGCACAATTGGAAACTGAGGCTCAGCGAGGTTGCTTTGCTAGAGGGCAACCACAGTGAGGCATAGGGCCCGGCTGAGCTTTGAACCCAGCTCAGAAAGCACTGAAGCTCGTTCTCTCCCACACATTTCAGAGAACTCTGGGAGAGAAACCCTAACTTTATTAGGAAGGCCTTGCCCCTTGGCAAAGGCTTCTTGATTGTGATGGATTGCCGGTGGGAGCGGGGCGGAAGCGCTTTCTGCTTTACCCTATATTTATCCTGTTCTGGGTTCTCCTCCTCTGCAAAACAGATTGCTACGTCTCCTTGCTTGGCAGTTTGCAAATTGGGGAACGTTACGCCCACATTCCGGCCACGGGTCTCGAACTTCCAGCCCCCACGTCACCGGCCGGTGCTGAAGCTGTGCTGGGTCTCACGTACTCAGCTGCCGCCTGATAACCAGGGCGGGGCCCGGAGCTGGGGGCAGTGATTGGCACCGGCCCCAGCCTGTCCGCGCCTTGGGCTGACCCCGCAAGCCAATACTTGCTCCTCTCTGTGCAGTCGTTGGGCGGGCCCCGAGGGTCCCTTGTCAATCCGAGGCCCAGCCGCCGTCGGGTTGGTCGCGGGCGACTTGGCTGGCGTGCGCTGCCTCCAATGAGAACGGAGCCGGTCAGCGGGCACGTGGGTGGGCGCCGGCGTGTCCAAGCCGGTCTGCCAATGAAGAGGCGAGGCCGGCGTTTGCTCCCGCCCAATCGCGGAGCGCGGAGGGCGGGCCGTACGGTGTTGATGGGCCCGGCTGAGGGGAGGGGCGGCGCTGTCAGCGCTGGCCAATGGGCGTGCGGGCGTGGGTCCGGCAGCCAATGGCAGCCGGGGCGGAGCTGGCGCGCGGCCTTATAAGCCCCCCCCTCGGGGCGCTCGCGGAGGGCTCGGCCGCCAGCAACCGAGCGGGGCCCGGCCCGAGCGGGGCCTGGGGGTGCGACGCCGAGGGCGGGGGAGCGCGCGCCGCTGCACCCGGACCGGGCCGCGCGCGCCGCCTCAGGTGAGCCCGCGGGGAGGCCGCCCGGCCGCGTCCGAGCGCGGACCCCGCCGCCATGGCCGCCCCCGCGTCGTGGCGCGGGGCTGCGGGCGCGCCCGGGACTCGAGGCCCAGGCCTCGGGCGCGGCCTGTTCGGGCCGGGCCTCGCGCTTTGTCCGGGCCGGCGGGGCGGTTGGGGGCGTTAACCGCCCGGGCCGGGGGCGCCCGCGGGCTTTCGGGCGGGGGCGGCGGGGCCGGACAATGGCGGGGCGCGCCCAGGGGCGGGAGCTGGGGGCCCCTTCCCGGGCCGGGGGCGCGCGGGGGGCTGGGCACAGACGGCCCCGCCGCCCCGCACAAAAGATGACAGCGTGGGTGGCCCCGGCCGGGCCCTTTTATCACCCAGAACAACCCTCAGCCTATTATTATTATTTTTTTAAAGAAAGCAAGAAAAAGAAAAAAAAATACACCAGCCCCTGGGTCACCCCCGCCTGCGTTTCTGGCCCTTGGGGCACCAGAGGGGCTAAGTGGAAGCTCCCCAGCCGGACGCCCAGGGGTGCCCCCTAAATGCCTATCATTCCTCCTGCACTGCCCCCACCCCCGATCAACCTGCTGGTGGATTGGTGGATTGGTGGCTTCCAAACTTGCCCCCCTCAGCGTCCCCGAAACCTCCCATCCCCATAAGCATATGCAATCTGGATTTTAGAAAAAAGAATCATCTTGCTATGCGGTGGCAGCCTCCACGAGTCTCCCCGTCCCTCCCCGTTCCAGCCTGATCGCCATCTCGAACGAAGCCCCCTGCTCTATAGAAATGAATTGAGGAGTTGCTTCCGCGGAGACCCCTTTCATGCGTCCCCCGTGGACGTCCCTTTGGGAGCTGGGGACGGGCTCGCTCTGAAATCTGCTTGACCTGGGGTTTGCCAGGGCCCGGGGTCTCCGCTCAGTGGTGGCCATGACATCAGGCAGGACGGGGTTTCTGTCCACCTAGGGACGGTGGAAGGTTTTAAGGGGCCTGTTCCCCCCCCACCCCGGGGCCCGTGGAGGCACGGACTGCTTTTGGGTGTATCCTATGTGTTTGCTTGGGGGAGGATGCTTTTGTTTTAATAATCCGCCAGCACCTTGTGGGGAAGTGTTTCCTGAGTTGTGAAACTAGTGAGAAGGTGGTTCAGCTCCGTGGAGCCCAGTGATCCTGTCATATGTGAAGAGCATCTTTTTCCATGTGTTTCTGGCGGGGGGGCATGTATTACAGCAAGTTGATTTGGGTCCCACCAGGGGCCCGTACTGTCTTGGGGTCTCTGGATACTGGGCTGAATTTAAGGGATAGGTGCCCTGCCCCACCCTCTGCCTCAATGGCCATTTATCGGAATGCTCCCTGGCTGGAGAATGCTCCTGAAATCAGCCCCAGTCCTAAAGTGGGCTCATTAGACGACTCCTATGGGCTTTTATCACAGCCGAGCAAGAGCTAATGACTCCCCTAATTCCCCGATAATAGCTTCCTTATGAGCCACCAGGAGAGTTTGTCAACACACGGGGTCAGCCTTCTCCTGCAGCCCCTGCTGAAGCAGTGGGCAGCCTCTCTCCTCTTTGCATTTTATTTTTTGAAACCCTGAAGGTCGGAGCGTGAAGCGGTGGTAGAGTCAACTTCTGATTATCTGAGCTGAGGATTTCTGGGACTTGCCAGCCCCATCTCGGTCTCTGTGTGTCTGATTGGACACCTGGCAGGTCTGGGCGCTCCCCCTCCTTGAGCCAGGGACACCAGGACGGGTCAGACTGTCCTGGCCTGGAGGAGATCGCCGCTGGGGAAGAAAAGGGGGCTATAGAGATTCTGCTGCGCAGATGGATGTTGGTGTACAGGCTGTCCTGTGTCTGGAGCTGCGGGTGCCTGCGTGTGCACGTGTGTGTGTGTGTGTGTGTGTATGTGGTTGCTGAGACTTGAAATATGCATGTCTCGGTAACAATTGATTTGCTCGCATTTTCGAACCCTTTCCTCTTTGGGGAGGGGGCTGCTAAGATGACGCTAACTGCTGGTGCTTGAAGGTATAGCTGGCCAGCCACCGCACAGCTCCCTGCCCGGCTTTGTTGTGCTTTTCTGTCTCGTGGAAGAGACCCTTCCTCAGCCTCCTGCCCCGTCCTCAGTCCCTGTCCCGTCCTCCCGGTGCCCTCTGCAGTGGTCAGGGGTCGTCCTGTGTCCTTCTCTCCCACCTGACCACTCTGCCTGTACTTTAATTCCTAATTTCTGTGTCTCCTCTGCTGGTTTCCTGCCCCTGTTTATCCTGTGCCCCACCCACTCCCCCATGAGCTGGGGAGGAACCTCAGTCCCAGGGAGCCCCTCTGTCTGGGTTCCGTCTGACCCCTGTGGGGATGGGCGCTGGGGTCATACACTCACCTGGCCTCGGGCTGTTGCCTTTCAAGTGCTGAGTGCCTTGGAGGGACAAGTTGGGAGGAGTCCCCGGCTCCTGTGGGTTTAGAGTATAGTGGGGGAGAGGGCAAGCTGGCTGCCCAGGGTCTGGTCACAGATGGAATGGTGGGAGGCTGTCTGCTGCCCTCAGGCTCAGCTCAGGGAGCGGCAGGACGAGGCACGACTGATGGGGGCTGAGATGCCTGAGGTGCCATCGAGGAGCACTTGTAGGTGGCTTTCTTGCCTGGATCAGGGAGCAGAGTTGGAGGGTCAGAGCTGGGTGACCTTGGGCCAGTCACTTGCTTGGGAACAAAGGAGGTCAGGGAGCACTAAATCTTTCCAAGCCCGCTGGTCCAGAAGGGGTCCAAGAGCTGATGAACGAGGTGGGGGCTGGTGGGGCAAATCTGCAACCCGCGCTGGTCACTGCCGTGACACATCCCCCATCCTCGCCCACAGCCTTGGCCTGGGCTCCTGGCTCAGCTCCAGGGACCTGCCATGAGGCAGCTCAGTGGGGCCTGCAGATGCTGTAGCCTTCCCCCCTCCTGCCCCAGGGGACTCTGCTCCTGGCTTAGGATGCTGGACAGGGGAGCAGGGGCCTGGCCTGGGCTCCATTCTCATCCAGTGGTCTTGGACATCTCTAGGTCTCTGCCCTCCATCCCACACCTCGCACAGGCTTCAGAGGTGGAGAGACCTAGATTCAGATCCCTCCTCTGAGGTGCTCACTTCCCCTCTCTGGGCCTTGCTTTCTTCATCTGTAAAATGGGTGTAATGGGAAAACCTCCCTCCTGGGTGAGGATCAAAGGGGGTAAAAGGCACTGAAGCTTCACGGGGTACCAGGAGCTCTGAGCTCTGAGTGGTTCATTACACCGCAGGGCCCTGCTGTCCTGTCAGGGTCTCCCCACCTCTGCCCTCTCCACGTTCTGGGCTGGGACATTCCATGGTGGGGCTGTCCTGGGTGCTGTAGGGTGGGCGTGAGCAACATCCCGAGTCTCCACCTAGCAGAGGCTAGTAGCACCCTGTCCCCTAAGCTGTAGCAACCAAAAATGCCCCTTGGGAAGCATTGTTGCCTCCCCAGTGAGAACATCGGACTTGGCCGTGAGCCCTGCAGCAGCTCGTATTGTACTGTGACCTTGATGTGCCTCAGTTCCCTTTGCCTCCTCCTGCCTCACCCTTCAACAGTGAGTGGCTCCTATTTGCAATTTGTCCTGGCCACACTCCTTGCCTGTCTGTTCAGATTCTCTGTGACTGTCCCTCTGCCCTGCCAGGGTAGCAGCTTCCAGCTGAGAGGAGAGGAGCCCCCCACAGAACCCCCCAGCTCCCCTGCACTGAGGAGCAGTCCAGCACCTATGGGGTCTTCCTGGCTGCTCTCTGGCCTCTGGGCTCTGGCAGGTCCCTGCCCAGGGTTGCTTGGCTGCCCCTAGAGGTGGCGCTTCCACACCTCCCGTCACCAGAGTCCTGACCTGTCAGTTTGCTAGACAGTTTTCTTGCAGTCCATTGTAGAATGACTCACCTCTTTGATCTTGGCCTCTTCCTGAACAGTAATGTCCCCAAAGCCATGGGACATTAATGTGCTAGTTGCACATACTTTTTTTTTGAAACCGGGTCTCTCTCTGTCGCCCAGGTTGGAGTACAGTGGCAAGATCTTGACTCACTGCGACCTTTGCCTCCTGAGTTCAAGCGATTCTCCAGCCTCAACCTCCCGAGTAGCTGGGATTACAGGCGCCCACCACCATGTTCAGCTAATTTTTGTATTTTTAGTAGAGATGGGGCTTCACCATTTGGCCAGGCTGGTCTTGAACTCCTGACCTTAAGTGATCTATCCACCTCAGCCTCCCAAAGTGCTGGGATCACAGGGGTGAGCCACCGCGCCCGGCCATGCTGCACATACTTTTACTAATGCACATTCAAATGAGCTTAACCATTATATTAAAAACTTGTATCTTCCCAAATACTGAGGCAGGAGTGGATTGATGAATTGATGTTTTTGGTTTTTAGACAAATTGATTTTCAAGCTCACTCCCTGTGTGACTTGGCCTGTTCTGGGATGCTGGGCTTGGTCCGTCCATTCCCTCCTGAGGAGCCTGGAAGACGGCCTTCCCTGGGGGAGCGGGGGACGTGTCAAGTCTCTACCTCCTGCTTGGTTTTGCCGTGAACCTAAAACTGCTACCTAAAACAAATTATATTCAAAAAAAGTAATAACTGGCTGGGTGTGGTGGCTGACACCTGTAATCCCAGCACTTTGAGAGGCTGAGGTGGGCAGATCACCTGAGTCAAGAGTTTGAGTCCAGCCTGGTCAACATGGTGAAACCTTGTCTCTACTGAAAATAAAAAAACATTAGCTGGGCACAGCAGTGCGCACCTTTAGTCCCAGCTACTTGGGAGGCTGAGACAGGAGAATTGTGCTGAGATTGCGCCACTGCACTTCAGCCTGGGTGACAGGGCAAGACTCCGTCTCAAAAAATATATATATAATAATTTTTTTTTTTGTTTTTTTGTTTTTTTGTTTTTTTTTGAGACGGAGTTTCGCTCTTGTTACCCAGGCTGGAGTGCAATGGCGCGATCTCGGCTCACCGCAACCTCCGTCTCCTGGGTTCAGGCAATTCTCCTGCCTCAGCCTCCTGAGTAGCTGG